AAGAGATTTTTCAAAATTATACTTTGACTTCAATAAACTAGTATTTATCATGGTGAGCCTGCAGGGGAGTCTATACTCCAGAGTACAGAAATTACACTCCATTGTTGTCTGCTGATCTAAAAATCTGTATTAAATATTAGCTTCACAAAGAGACAAAGATAGATATGCTTAAACCCAAAATGTCACTGAAAGTGAATATACACATCATATCCAAGCAACTTCCTGTCCTGCTATTTTTAAGTTAACTTCCATACATTGTTAGACTCAAAAATACTAATACATGGAAATATTATTTAGCACCTCACTACATCCTGTAATAAAGCGATGACCAGCTGCAGTATCATTTTTACCAGAGCGCACTACAGAATCTCATGGTTCACATTTGGTTATGGCATTACGTTTGTTCTCAATTGTTTTTTCATCGCTACCGCCTATGTAAAGAAAAATCCACTTGTAAGATGGGGTATTTGCACACTATGCTTGGTCTGCAGCTAACAGTCTGCAACAGAAGCGCATACGTGTCACCTACACTTTCTTCCTCAGGAGGTTTATAACTAAGGGTAGCCAAACTCACATTCAGCATCCCTTTGAAGTATTTATGAGTACAATGGACTCTTCTTGCACCACTTTCACCTCCCGAACTGACTTCCCACCCTCAGAAGCTCTCTTGCTTAGAGACAGCCCTCAACCTGCCTTCCCCCTTCAGCAGCTCACATGCTGAGCACAATAAACCTGGCTAACACAGCCCTGACGCCAGAGTAAGAATGGCAGAGTGACGTACCAGCAAGAAGATGCATTCATGGACAGTAACTGCTGACTGACCAACAGACCCTTTCTGCCAAAGGCAGACGAAGGACAGGAGCGATACAGCACATACCAGGCAAGTGGTACAGTTGCCCGGTGCACACAGTTTACCAGGAATGCATTTTCAACTGATGGCACTATCTAAAAACTGTTTCTAAATCATGCTGCCTTCATGAGAAGACACCGTCACAGTGAATGTAAGTCTTCAGATGTCCAACAAGATTCAGTTCAAAAAAGAGCCCAATCCGCATTCTGTACCAAGTGCACTTTCATATTTGAAAAGTTCTTAATTTGAACAACAGAACCCAGAGCCGTAATTCTGGACACAAGCTTTTGCAGTCCAGCAAGGGACTGCACCACCCTGTATTGTTCTGTAAACCCAAAGTTAAATGACAGTCTTGACTTAAAACCAACTCAAACTACAGCAGGGTCTCAGAGGATGACACATCATCCCCAAGATTTGGCATTTACAGCCAGCCCTGTGACTCTTGCTACCTTTGGCATGAGTATTACTTTGTCTAGAAAACTTAACAGGAAGAAACATCACATTTTGCCACAAATGTCACCTCAACTGTACAGAGGTGACAAAAGACTTACTGCTCAAATATGTAATTTTAAAAGACTAACCAGTAACATGATTGTACAGGAAGAGTTATTTTAAATTAAAATAGAAAACACCAGCAGTAACCACTTTTGCCACCTTCTACCTACATAAAGACCATTAAAGCAGTAACCCTGACTACTACTACCCTCAATTTATGAGACATGCTAATGACAACAGTAGGAGGCACACTCCCCTGAGAGCAGCTAGAGTTGAGATGAATATATACAATGGAAATACAGGTGTTGGGAGGTTAACACTACATTAACAGTTTCCTTGCAGTGACTGAAGCTGAGCACTGGCCCTCAGGACCTGCTGCCGAGCTCTTTGCAGCTCCACTCTGCTCACAGCAGGGCAGATGGTTCACATTTAAATAGCTGCATCCAACATATAACACAGGTTCAGTTACAACTGGCTTCATATAGACAGGCCACAAAGTAAACTAGGATAGCCCATAGGTCACACAGTTGTTAGGATTGTTACACATCTATAAGCAACCTTGAAACACTCAATTCCTTCAAAACAAGTGTTCCCATCTTCCACAGACCTAGAAAAACTAGAGTCCTGGCCAGGACCTCCCTTGCTAGGGAAACAAAGCACACTATTAGGGTGCCCACAGAATTTCAGCTTTTTCTCCTTCCATTTCCTCCACAGTTGAATACGTCAAGTGTAATAGGCATTGCAACGCAGTTCAAGAGCCTTCTTAAGGATATGGCAATATTCTCTGGAGTGTCATCAGCAACTTGGGAACCCAAGCTGCACTTGATAAACAGTACCCAAATGCCCTTTGAAAGGAAGCATACTCTTGATACTCTCAGATGTTACACTTTATGTCTACAGAGCACACACATAAAAATCAGGTATAGTTGCATTATTCAATATCAAAAAGTCATTCTGCCAGAGACCATCAAAGTCTTCAGTGCAGTCCTTGATCCACAAGATTCCTACTGCAGAATTCACTGCAATACTTAATGCTGTAGTTGAAGTGAGGTGAAAGCAGCTGACATCTTGATTCCTCCCAAACAGCCGAGATTTTAAAGAAACCCAAGCATTCGAGGTATGCTGGAAAAGCCTTAAAGAACACACGCCCAAATACTGCACAAGTACAAACTGTTCTCGCCCCATTCTGTTATACATCTTCCAATGAAGAACTATGATACACCTTTACCAACTTTGGATAAGCCATGAGAGGAGCAACTTGGTCCACATCATTGCACTAAGCAGCCTCATCCCAGCAGCACTGTTTAGAAGACTCCAGAGAGGTGGGACACCTGGGATGCCTATGCTTGCTCTTTACTGCTAAGGAATGGTATTTCAAGACAATTAAAAGTAACCATCAGTTAGTTATGGTTGGTGTAATGTAACAAGAAAATCGTTCACATGCCTCTAATAAAACCATGCCTCAAACCATGGCATTCTGAAAAACCAATGACACCTAAGTTTCAGTCCATCTTTGTGAATCCAGCCAACGTGCATACCAAGTATCACCAACCTGTCAACAATTATGTTTTCCTAGAGGAAGAGGAGGATGTTCCCATCATACCAACAAATACCACGTTCCTCCTTTTATTTCTAAACACAAACAATAAACCAGGACTTAATCTGAAAATATTCTGCAACTGTAGAATCTACCTCCTTTAGCAAATACTTTAAACAGCTATGAAATTTATATTTTTGCTACAAACTTGTCATTTTGTATGCAGTCTCCTTACAAGAGGAAAGCTACAGCCTTTGGAATGATTTAACCCACAAGGTACTTCTGTAATGAAGTTACAAAACATCAAATATTTCCCCCTTACCAATTATTTTCATTCACAATTTTTACACTCTCATTTTAAATACTAGTCATGAAGTTCTTCAATCAATTGAAAGTTCAGAAACATGCCCTTTATAAAGGAGCTTCTTTATGGAATTACTTCACAGAAGCTGCTGCTTTAGACAGTTTGTCCACATGGTACTGATGATGAGGATGAAGACACTTCAATAAAGGCAATGATAGCGAGAAGGGCCTGATGCCAAGATGACATTAGTTTCTGAACAGTAAATAAAGTGTAAAGATTGAAACAGATTTCAGGGGTTAAAGTCAAGTAACTCCAAAATTGCAGAAATTAAAATTTCAAATAAAAGTCAATAGAATTTTGGTGGAGTATTAACCTCTTCTCAGTTCAAACTGCACATGAAAAGCTTAAGCAGAGTCCAACACTGGATCATTTCACTTTTTAATTTAAAATTAACACACAAAAGACCACCACAGCAAGCACACAGCTAGCAGGGAGGAACAGCGCATGCTTAAGGGTCACCAAGAAAATTGGAAGCTTACTTCCACAATCTCTAAGTGTACAATAATGGCAATAACAATCAGCCAGGATACTGGTAGAATGCTTGAGCGATCATCCAAAAGCAAACATGAATACAAATCGAGAGATCTCTTCTTAAGTCCTCACAGTTTGACTGGAACAGATATGAAATTGCTTTTGAGGGGAAGAAAGTTTCAGTCCAGTCACTGCAATCAATCCTTCACGAGCAATGTTCACTGCTTAAAAACCCCTCAAAGACTTCTGGGATTTTGACCCAGCGCTCTTTTGTCTGCCCTCAATTGGATGGGAACACACACAATAAAGCCACAGTACATGAACCCCTCTACAGATTGCACCGAAACCCAACTAAATTAAAAGGATAGTGTCTGGGTTTTTAATGCTGAGGCCTTGAAAACGAACTGGTACATCAGGTATTCATTCCTGGTACTCCAAGCTTTTCCCACTTCTAAGGTGGTTGCACAGCAACCTGCATCTCAGTTATACAAGCTCTGACTCGTATGGAACTAAAGGTGTTCTTGCCATCATTAGACTGCGCTTGTACAGAACTCTGGCTCTGCTCAGACCAAAAATTTGGTAGAAGAGTAGTGCCTTAGCCCAGTTTAATCCCCAGTCACTTGGAAAGGCTAATCTCAGTGGGTTTGGATTTTTTTTTTTTAAAGCTTCCAAAAGGAGACAATTACTTTCTTCCTTTCCTTGTTTCTGTATCAAGTGTGAACCCTAGAACTTAGAATGAAAAAAAATTGCTTTTCGAAACTAAACAGTGTGATGCACTACATGACTTTGTGCACATTCTAGGGTTACCTCCTACAAGGGCTCACTGGCAGAAACATACAACATGTCTGTGAAATTAACTTTGGGGGTTTTTCCTAAGAAAAACACCTAAACACATTTTGAAAAATCAAGGCTAGCTCGAGTTGACATTCACACATTTTCCCTCAGCCTCCCTGGACCTGTGTACAAGTATTTTTACAATCCTCCAAGCTACCTTTTGGAGGCGTACAATGCAAGACTCTAAGAAACAGAACTGCAGTGCATTTTCTGATGATAAAACTGGAAAAATTATTCAGAGCACAGAGCATTTAAAACAATCAAAAGGTAAACTGTCTCCAAGGAAAGGCTGCACCATTCTCCCAAAGGAATGCCCCAGGTAAGGTCTGCAGTCCCCTGTCTGAATAAAGCAGACCTTTAGTTGATGGATTTTACCCCCTTCAAGCACACAGCCAAGTACCTGGGAGAGTGACTGTGCTTTGACAATTCACAGTTTCTATTTATTTTACCTGCAGCTCGCACCAGGCGACTTCCACAGTGGTATCCGTATCCAGTCCTTTATACACAGTTTTGAAAGAGCCTCTTCCAATCTCGATGTCAAACTTCAAAAAGCGGCCATCCGGGGAGATGCCTACTGCCTTGGTCTCTACCTCTTCGATGTCTTCCTGCTGTGTTCTCCGGTCCTCAAATTCCCGGCTGGCAGCTGACGTGCCGCCAGCCATGGTGGGGGGGAGCGCGGTTGCCTCGTCCTCCTCCTCCTCCTTGGGCAGCAGCGGGGCGGCATCCTTCGCGACAGTGGGCTCCTGAACAGACTGTCCTTCGAGGGGAAGCGGGGCAGGCAGCGGCGGCTGCTGCTGCAGTAGCAAGGGGGCCTGGGCGGCGCTGACAGCGATGCAAGAGGTCCGGCTGGCACACTCGGGAGGAGAGACCAACGGAGCGGCGCTGCCTCCCGAGACAGGGGCCGCGGGCGCTGCGGGCTGCAAACTGGGTAGCTCCAAGGCCGTGGCGTTGGAGTCGCAGATCACGCTACGGCGGAAGAAGCGGT